TTAAGTACTTACAAAACAAACATTATTTCTAGTTTATCCTGCGCAATGACGATCACTTAGACGCTTGATGAACGTTAATAGTGCAGGGATACAGGCGATCCCCTCTATCTGGTAAATGACGTCATAAAGGCGCGCATAATTGACGAGTTTTTTCCGGTGAAGGATGAACTCGAAAGTGGTCTTTTCCTTCAACAGGTAGATTATATTCAGATTTAACCTTGTGAGTACTTTTCAATAGTCACCATGTGGAAAGTCACCCCATATGCGTTGAATTCCGTATTTGGTTATATCTTTTATATTCATTTGCATATGTTTGATTTATCTGTATATATAAACTTTTAGTGCTGAACATTGACTTTTAATCGATATATGACCATATGATCTGTATATATAAACTTTTAGTGCTGAACATTGACTTTTAATTGATATATGACCATGTATGATTTTTATCATTTTAAGTTGATGGTTTCATTTTAATCATAAAGACTTATCCTGCCCGTTGGTGAACAGGGGGCAACAGGTTTGCCTGGCAAACGGAAGAGGCATACATTAAAAATTAAAATGCGGAAACGTAAATAACCTTTAACAAAATCAATGTAAAAACAATGCGGAAAAGAGTACTATAAAAATGCGGAAACGTAGGAATTTTAATGCGGAAAAGTAGTGCCAAAATGCGGAAACGTAAAACGCCGGAAAAAAACATCATGTACATGTATATATCTTCGGGTAATTCTATTGAAATTTGAAAAATAGTACAAACCAAATGAACTGAATAAGGGTGAGTACTTTTCAAACTAAACATAGTTGGTCAGTATATAGTGTGATAATGGATGATACCACACCTAACAAATTGAGCTTAATGCACAATTCAATTCCTACAAAGAGTTTGCATTGGCTATAGAAAATTATGAAAAGGAAAATTTTGTTCAGTTGTGGAAAAGGAATGCACGCACCATCAAATCCATGGAATGGCGAGCGCCAACCAGAAAGTTTAATGAAGAATTAGTATATGGACAATTGAAGTTATGCTGTGTACATGGAGGAAAATAACACAAGAGCTGATCATTGAGGTAAGTGTATGATTTTAAGGTAATAAGTTGGCAACCATATAAGTTAAAAAGGATAAAAGATGTCAACCATAGTATAGACGATACTATAGATATTGTTAGAATAAAAGCAGAAGGGCAAATAAAACATATAAGACAAAATGACAGACAATGAAAACAAGCATGACATATACATCTTTAAAGATCAGGCAACAGGATTATAACAAAGTATGAAAGCTGTTACATGTTTTCTGAAATCGTGTTTTCTTTTTAAACAGGTCAACGTCCTAAACAGGCCACATTTAAGCAAAGCGGCCTTTTCTTCGTACAACTACGAACAACGAGTGATGGGAATAAGCTGATGATAACAAATATGTGTGAAGAACACAATCATAATCCAAACCATAATTTAAATAAGTTCTTACCAAGACAGCGGCAATTATCTGGCGAAGATAGAAAAGATGTTGAAACTACGCTAAAAGTGAAAGCTAACAAGAAAATGGTACAAATAAAGGCAACAGTTGTATACCGCTGTTCAATAGTCATAATTCGATTAAGCAAAAACAAATCCGGGTAACAAACTAAAACCAAGGGAAACACATTAACTATAAGAGGAAAACAACGGAACAACAGAAACACTGAACTACAACAAAAGCAAACGCCAACATACATAGAAACGGACTGTAGATAACAACTGCCATATTCCTGACTTGGTACAGGACATTTTAAGAAAAAATGGTGGGTTGAACGCTAGCCAAACATCCCGCTTATATGGCAATATTAAAAATACCGCTAAAATGACAACACTACGTGACAGGAATACAAACAAACGCAAGAACACTCAGCACAGAGAAAATACACAAATAAATAATATAATAGTACATTACAAAATAAACCGCAGAATAACAACGGACACCTCCCATGAATTTACGACAGCACACCAGGACACCACAAACGAAATATAAACTGCGCGTCACATGAATGGATCAACGTCACAAAAAGTAACTTATTTTTTGTGACGTTTATATTATCACAGGTAAATTTCTAAAAATAAAATAGATTTGTATTATAGACACGTACAAGAATATTAAATTTGGATTGAGTTTGTAATGGTGTTATTTTATGTATTTTTTTACTATGACAAAAATATTAAAATGAAATTGTGTTTGTAATGGTGTTATTATTTGTATTTTCTAAACATGTCGGTCTTTCTTCTAAATCAAAACTGTGTATTAACTAAAAAATCCTGTGCATATAGTAACGTTGCTTTAAACTTAATATCATATAAATGAAGTAGCTGATTTTTTATCTTAACTTTTACATACATATAGAAAATAAATATAAAATAACTGTAATATAAAGCAAAATCATGTAAGACCAAACAGTAAACACACATGAAAACAAACAACATAAAACAAAAACCCTGTAGACGAACCAAGAGTAACTCGACTATACTGACAAATATAATGGAGAAAACAGGAAAAAAGATAGTGCTAAAAGATTTTCATAACATAAAATCGGAAATGAAAAAAAAAGTCTGCAACTGGGAAGACGGATTAAGAACAGATGTATGACATTCTATCCTCAAGTTGTTCTGAATCAGTAGTCGAATATGCTGTTGAAGACAACAAGCTGCAAGCTATATTTTTTCAAGATAGACACATGAGGAATGCATTTGATAGTTACCCAGAAGTAATACTGGTAGATGCTACTTTTAAGACAAATAATCTGAGAATGCCACTATACTTAATAATCAATATAGATGGAATTGGACAAAGTGAAGTAGTTGCTATGTTCTTGCTTACACACGAGGAGGAATTTATACTTTCACTAGTAATTAAGGAACAAAACTGTGAAAATATACGAGTTATATTAACTGACAAAGACATGACTGTGAAAGAAATGTTTTGGGGAAAGCTATACATCAAGCAAAGCTGCAGTTGTGTTTGTTTTTTGTTTTAAGAAATTTTAGACGAGACGTTTCAATCGAAAAATTGTGGATCACAGTTGGTGAGAAAATGCACGCATTAGAAATTATGCAGAAGATATTCTACTCAAAATGAATAGGATGAATATCAAACTTTTTACAAAGAATTGTGTGAAAAATCATCAAACTCAGTTATATCATACTTCAACAGAAATTGGCACAACAGGAATGGGTTGATGGGCTAAAAGATGGTATTAATCTTGGGAATCGTACAGGATTGAAAGCATAAATGACAAAATAAAATCTGTGCTCTATCACAACTCCACATTACCAGATTTTGCTGAACACTTTCTGATAGCCTTAAATTCTTTGCGTAAATAATGAGACCTCAAGACAAATGGTATATTTCAAAAGAGAGCTGTTACAGTGTCCTCAAATGATTCTCCTGAATATAAATATCAAGAGTTTGTGACACCATATGCTTTGGCATATATACATAAACAGTTTTCACTAAGATCTGAAGTAAAAATCGTACAGAAGGAGAGTGGTGATAGAGAAATTGTATGGACAGCTACAACAAACCAAGGCCAAGTGACATTACATAGATTATTTGAAGATATATCAGAAACCCAGTCAGCAGTGGGTAAAACTAGTGAGGAAAATGTCTCAAAGCACAAAATACAGGGAGACACAAATACTTTTACAACAAGTAGCAAGTCTTGCATCCGAAGCTACAGGTGATGAATATATTAAAGCAGAGATTAGATATTATTCATAGTATTACACATTTTCGGAGTCATGGGGGAAAATGTATGGTTCTTGAAGTTCTAGAGTCTGATTCTGTGGAAAGTACAAATGCAGTTGGCAACAAAAACAATCAAACAGACGTGTATATTAATGAGGATATTGAATACATCAATGATGATTTAAATGTAACAGATAATAAAGAAAATGATACTGATAATGTCCAAATATTCGAAAATTCCAGAGAAGAACTAGTTTCACATGAAGAAGAACGAGATATAGCTCAACAAGAAGAACAACTTCTGGATTCCAAATGTTGTAGACCGCGTGTTTCGCACATATTACTGCAACCAAATATCAAGAAACGTGGAAGGCCAAAAGGTTTGACCCAAACGGTTATAGGTCTTCCAAAAAAGCGTACCCACAAAAGCAATTGTTTACCATTTCAAAAGAAAAGCTACAAAGAAATTGGATTCCTTATACTAGAATGGTTTGTTGGAAGTGATTTAGCGAAAAATGCTGTTTATAACAACATTTTAATAACCAAGAAACAAGTTGAAACAAGACCTGAACTTTTAACTGCTTCTTGTTTGAACTCAATTGTAAACATTGATTTGATTAAAAAGTATTGTAAAAAAATATGCATTGGAAGCTACTAGTATTCAGGACGTATTTAAAGAGAAGAAAAAGAATCCGATCTATATATATATATAACATATGCAAACATGACTCAGATTCAAAGAAGCCAGTGTAATGTGTAGTTCCTGTTTGGAGTGGCAACATTTATCTTGTGCTAGACTAAAACAACTTCCAAAGGCAAAGAATTGGTTTTGTAACTATTGTAAATGTTAAATCATGTTTCAATTTTAAATTTGTATCAAACAACTTTGAATATTGTCTTTTTTTATGATGTAGTTTTACATAACACTATTTTTATCACGTGGTAGGATATTTTTACCATAGATTTTACGAAGATTTGAAAATCAACTTTTTATAAAGTTTTCAGAAAAAATGTATTCAATAATGTATATAAATATGTGTTTTGATGCTTTTTTTTTTAATATTATAAGATAACAAATGATTAAATTATGACCATCTTCCATATCTTATTTTTTATTGTACTGTATTTTGATTGCTTGATATTGTGATAAAATGAATTAACATTATTATAGTAATAGCTGGTAAAATAGTCATTTTTCTATTTTGCCGGACCACTGCCATTATCTATGCTTTATCAACAAATAAGTTGGTTAAGAGCTCTTCAAAACTCAACTGATGGGTCAATATCCCTAATGCGCCTCGAAATGAGGAACTCAAAAGTTGTGTGTAAACAAAAAATCTCTGTGTACTGATATTGGACATGTTTCTATTTTTTACAAATGACTGAGCTTAACCATTTGAGGTGATTAGGAAAGTAGAGGAACATAGAATAAATGTGTAAAATCTATGGAGCTATTAAATGTGTTCAAAGTATTAAATTTTCAAAGAACTTATTGTGTTAAAAAATGGATTTTTTACCACGAGGAGCCGCATCACGAAAGGATGTTCGGGGTATGCTAATTTACGGAAAAAGTAATCTCACTTCGTACCCCGAAAATTTAACTACATATGTGAAAATGTCACAGCTTCGAAACGAGCTATCATACATATCCAAGTTTACGATATGGACTGAGCTACAGGAAAAAACGTTACCATTACCGCCTATGGAAAAACAATTAAAGATATTGACCCAAATTACAAGAAGAATTTCAGCAGTTTTCAGACTGATTTATGGATGATTGCACCTTGAACACCAGAGAAAATTGTGAAAATAACGGTTAGTAGTCTTTTATTTATACCTAGTTATCCCAGCTGGTTTTAGATAAACATTATCAATAAAGATCAGCAAAAATTTTCGCTTTTGAAATGCATTACTGGCACGGGGCTGAACACTTCTTTTAGGCACAATCATAACTTTGTTTACCCCGAGAGATCCGAAAGGCACTTGTTATTTACTTGAAAAAGGCATGAACTGCTTATGGAAACATTTAATATTTTTAAATTGTAAGTAAACATGACACAATAAAGTCTTTGTTATGCAATTATCATTCCGGTCTACAGGAATAACTGATAATCAAAGGAAATAACACACTTCATACGAGTAAAGTGAGATACATCATCACATGTGCTTTTAACCAATGATTTGAGCCCTGGTCATTAGAAATTATATGCAAATAAACAGACAAACATGTATTAAGAAAATCATGAACTATTATATTTTAATGCACACTAGCAAATCACAAGATATTGTCTTTTCTCAGTGAAAAAGGGGGAGGGTCAAACCTTTTGAAAACAATAGTGCTGCACCTATTCAACTATTAAGCTACTACTCATTGCTCCTAATATAAAAGTTTTAAATGAAGGTTGATAAGCCACAAGGGAGAAGCATTTCTCTTTCTTTGTGATAAAACTTTCAAAAATTTGATTTTTTCTCTCTCAATAATACTTGTGTATTTAAATCAAATGACAACACAGCCTGAGTAAATTTTTTGTCTTATTTCAGTTCCAGACATATCATTACTATTTAACCTGAGACCGCAAACTACAGGTTTTAAAAAGTTCTGACTAACTGGTAAGCATTTTGTTTTATTAGGCAAGCTCTAAATTGTTTATTTATGGTATTTATGCAATTGAAATTACAGTCGGTATGTTAAAAATATGCTGATATGAAAACTGTTGCTATGGTCTTGATATTATATAAAAATGCTTAGTTACTGATCTTTTCGACTCCATTTTTCGAGTTAAACCTTGCGGCAACTGTTCCTCATGTAACACTGCAAACTATAGTTAGCATTATTTTGATCTGTCGTTATTTAATGACGCCATAATACCTGTGATGACACAATGTTTCCTTTAAAACCTCATGTGCATTTCTCACTAATAAAGGGTTTTCACTGAAATACATGTAACAGACTTTTTTTTTCAAATAGAATTATGTGAAAAGACAAGTTTTGAAAATTTGCACTTCATTGCACTCTAATTATATGATAAAATTGACATTCACAGTAGTTAAGAGTGGTTTCTACAGTATAAAATACCTGATTTCCACTGGTAAAAATAATTAAGTATTTTGGTGTTTTTTTATGAGATCTACATTTTTGCATAATTTCTCAGTCAAAATGCACTTTTAGGCACCAGAAAATTTTATTGAATGCTTTAACAGGGTCTGTGTATTGTAATTTAAGGTTATCATCAGATGTTTTGTCCATGTTTTGACTAGTGAAGGTATACTGGAAGAAATTAATTATACATAAACATTGTATTCAAAATAAATAGATATAGCGATAAAAGTGTCATTGCCTTATAGTGCTGAAACAACTTTATTTTTTTTTCAGAAATGGACAAAAATACACAGATTTATTCAGAAAGTAATACCGATGAAGATCACGCAAAAATATTTGGAAAAATCAGAACTTTGGATTTCAATATGGGTCAATATCCCTAATGCGCCTCGAAATGAGGAACTCAAAAGTTGTGTGTAAACAAAAAATCTCTGTGTACTGATATTGGACATGTTTCTATTTTTTACAAATGACTGAGCTTAACCATTTGAGGTGATTAGGAAAGTAGAGGAACATAGAATAAATGTGTAAAATCTATGGAGCTATTAAATGTGTTCAAAGTATTAAATTTTCAAAGAACTTATTGTGTTAAAAAATGGATTTTTTACCACGAGGAGCCGCATCACGAAAGGATGTTCGGGGTATGCTAATTTACGGAAAAAGTAATCTCACTTCGTACCCCGAAAATTTAACCACATATGTGAAAATGTCACAGCTTCGAAACGAGCTATCATACATATCCAAGTTTACGATATGGACTGAGCTACAGGAAAAAACGTTACCATTACCGCCTATGGAAAAACAATTAAAGATATTGACCCAGATGTTAATTTGTACATATCATGTCCGACTCTAAATAAAATTTACTTACTTGCTTCAGTACTATATAACATAATTTAATCAGATTATTACTTCTAACAATACTGGTAAACACTCCTCTGCTCATATTCCAGTATTGTAGTATTTAAAAAAAATGCGATTTTAAAGAACCTTTTTTTCAGAGATAAGTGCCTGTGACAAAAAGGCTCAAGACTTCTTCTTCTTTATGTAAATCCCAACGTTGGAGCACACACATTTAGCTATGTTCCCTTAATGGATCAGTTTAAAATTAACGTATTCATAATAAAGTTAATCCAAAGTTAAAATGTTGAAAAAACCACCGAAACGTTGCACATGCACAAAAACTATTTACACGAATGTACATTTTACACCCATCATCATGACAGTGGTTGCAAAGCTACTTGTCAATTTCAACTTTGTTTTGAATTGGTATTACACAATCGTGATTATGTAGTAGCCCCTTTTGATGTTTAACAACATTGTCATTCATTTATGACAATGTCATTCGATGTGTTTGAGAATCACCGCTCTTCAACACGTTGTACAGTGGACCATTCATTGGATACCAATGATCGTTTGCCCCGCCTTCTTAAATTGATTGACAACCGTCTTTTGAACGTCATCTCGGGACAACTTAAATGAAAACATTTTGAAAATAAATTTATTAAATTGAAAATAATTTACAGTAGAAATAAACTACTTTTTCCATTCCATTTCAAAACAAACAATGCATTTTTCAATACATTTAGTCAAACATTTTATTAAAAAAAAAATGTATCCCTCTTCCAAAAAAGGAAAAAAAATAAAATCGGTACATAGGAACTGGTACTATTATACTAACGGGACTGGAAACTGATCGGTCTGTTGAGATTTCATTGTCCCGATAGCGGATGTTTGATTTTTTGTTTTGATTGACAGCTTATCGTGTCACGTGGTTAATTAGCCTTCGATACATGTAATCAATTGATTTCGGCGAACATGTCAGCATGTTTATACCGTTAAAATAGGTGGATTTAAAATAAAAAGATATAATTAAATGAACAAAAAATTAAAAATATATGAATTATTTAATTATTTTAACAAATTGAAAATATTTACTAGAAAGAAATGTTTTTATATGGGGATGAACTAATAGTAGTAATGCCGATTTAAAACTAGGAAAGTCAAGTTCTTCTTTATTTTAACATAATCATCGAAGTTCTTTTGAAAGTTAACTACTTTCTTTATTGTTAAAAAATATTAAGAAGTAGTCAATTAGTGCTGTTGAAAACAAATATGATCGAAATGGCGGCCCTTTACTTGATCGCTAAGAAAACAACGTGTGGAAAGTTGATAGATCTTAATTAATCTTAACAAAAACAATTATAGTTTAATTGAAATCAATGTCGACAATTTCAGTTCAAAATTAAACCCTATTCCAAGTTCCCCCTTCGGTACCTCGAATGTATAAGATAGCACGGTCACTCTCAGTCTCATCGTCACTCGATTGGAGGTCATACGATCGTGCAGACACATAATGGATCTCCTAAAAATAATTAAGCGATATCGATCGGACAAGGATCCTAAACTTCAAGAATTTGACGGGAAGTGTTTGAGTACATTCAGTAGAGAAGACTTATTGAAAGTAGCCACTAATATAAAGTTGCATTTAAATGACATTCTAGTGCTTCTAGATATAGACGACTCCGGAGAGAATCTATGCAAAATTCACAGCAAAATTGTGAATTTTGCATTGGAGCAGAAAGACGAATTGAAGGAAGATACGGTTACACAAGAACCTCCTAAGAAAAAGGCTAAAACATCAGAAAACAAATCGTCAGGGGTGAGTTTTTGAATCTTATTTGATATAGCAACGGTTCATGAGAAGAGAATACGATGAGTGTAAAAGTTAATTAATACAGATATTAACGTATTATGTAGTCATAGTATATGGGTATATATTGTGTATATAAATGGCATATTTTAGTTTTTAAGAGTTTGGAATACAAATTATGAAAGTGTTAGAGGAAATTTACCGGTACGCCAGTTGTACGTCTGTGGTATTTTCATACTGAATATGGGACGGAAATGTTACATATTAATTAAATAATTTGTTCACATTTGAACGGGCACATATAGACCTATTTTACGGTTTAAATATTTGTTTAGAAAAGTGAGAACGGAAGAATGGAAAGTTCTTTAAGTTAGGCCAATAAAATGTTTGTTTGGGTACTTGAATGTGAAGACAAAGAAAATCTAGTAATTTATTATATTTTTATGTTTCTATAAATTTTAAAATTCAATGCAATTTGTCTAGAGTTTGGGTTAAATGCTAGAACGTGAATAGAAAAGATAAAAGAAAATTGTTCAAGTTTTTTGAAATATAATAAGGAAAGAAAACATATAAGTTTTGGATAGTTTATTTTTTATATAACGATTATTGTTCGAGTTTTTATGCCGAATGTACTTTATTGTATCTGGGCATGCTGCTTGGATGGAAAAAAAAATAATGATGTAGATAGTTTTAGAAGAGGAATGTTAAAGTTTTGAACGTGTAAAAGTATTAGCGGTGAAAATATAATGCGAAAAGAAAACATATGATTTAAGATATTTTTATTTTTCATATATCGACTATTGTTCGGGCTTTTACTCCGAACGGGAATATTGTTCGTGCTTTCATGCCGAACGTGGAAATTGTTCAAGCTTTTATGCTGAACGTGAATATTGTTCAGGCTTTTATGCTGAACGTGAATATTGTTCAGGCTTTTATGCTGAACGTGAATATTGTTCAGGCTTTTATGCCGAACGTGGAAATTGTTCAAGCTTTTATGCTGAACGTGAATATTGTTCGTGCTTTTATGCCGAACGTGGAAATTGTTCAAGCTTTTATGCTGAACGTGAATATTGTTCAGGCTTCTATGCTGAACGAGAATATTGTTCAGGCTTTTATGCTGAACGTGAATATTGTTCAGGTTTTTATGCCGAACGTGGAAATTGTTCAAGCTTTTATGCTGAACGTGAATATTGTTCGTGCTTTTATGCCGAACGTGGAAATTGTTCAAGCTTTAATGCTGAACGTGAATATTGTTCAGGCTTCTATGCTGAACGTGAATATTGTTCAGGCTTTTATGCTGAACGTGAATATTGTTCAGGCTTTTATGCTGAACATGAATATGGTTCAGGCGTTTATGCTGAACGTGAAAATGGCTCAGGCTTTTATGCTGAACGTGAATATTGTTCAGGCTTTTATACCGAACGTGGAAATTGTTCAAGCTTTTATGCTGAACGTGAATATTGTTCGTGCTTTTATGCCGAACGTGGAAATTGTTCGAGCTTTTATGCTGAACGTGAATATTGTTCAGGCTTTTATGCTGAACGTGAATATTGTTCAGGCTTTTATGCTGGACGTGAATATGGTTCAGGCTTGTGTGCTGAACGTGATGTTGTTCGGGCTTTTATGCTAAATGTAAATAATGTTCGGGCTTTTATGTCGAACGTGAATTGAGAGACCGAGAGAAAAAATATTTTGATTTATTGTGTTTGGACATGATGCTTGGGAGTGAAAGGAAAAAGGATGACGAAGTTGTTAGTAATTTTTCAAGATTAATGTTTCTGTACGTGTACTGATTATCTGTAAGAGGTTAAGATAAAATTATCTGGAATGAGAAAAAAAAATCTGTTTTCAATAGAGAATTACACAATTACACACATTTGTGAGTTTAGGATTCGTGTTTAAACGTGGTAAGGAAGAATTTACTTGGTTGTATTATGTAAAGTAGAGAATATCACAAAAGAAATTTGTTCAGGATCATGTCTGAATGTCAATAGAGAACATGATGTTTCAAATGTTCGTCTACATGATGTTTGTACTTTAGAAAGGGGTTATCCTTTAACTAATAATGAGAATTTAAAAAATGCTAAATATAAAGTTCGGACACTGTTATCTGGGTAAAATAAAAAATAGAAAGTTAGATAAGCGAAAAAAAAAACATAAAAAAAAAACATAAAAAACTAAAGAATGAAAGCTTTGATCATAAGGGACAATTAACATGTATAAAAAGTAACCCCCCTCCCCTTAAGTTGATTAATGGTTAATTTATATAGCAATATAATAATTGATATCATAATTGTTCTTTTTATTTACATTAAGGATAAACACTTTGTACACTGTTTTGTAATGCGTGTAGGTGGGAACAAATGTCCGAAACTAAAAGTTAAAAATAATTACAATTTGGCTATAGAGCTTGAGATTGTATCAAGTTGTTAATGACGCTAAAAGAAGAATTTATAATTACAAAATTAAAATAAAAAAAGAAAGAAGGAAAGAAAAATCAGAATAGAATATATATTTAATTATAATTTAGCTCTTAAGAAAAAAAGAAAGATATAGAGAAAAAAAAAGACAAAAAGAAATAATAAACAACACAAGTTAATTTTTGACACATAATAATTTACTGATTGAACATGTTGATAATGATAGTGGTAATGATAAATTGTATACAAAGTAAACTTTCTGGTTCAGACACTAATTGGATGTTGTTTGATGATCAGCTGTGGATCAATAATCTGAATATGATCGAAGTTCACATCAGCAGGGTGTATGTTTAAACATGCGGTCAAACATAGACACTTGACAGTTACATGTTTTCAAAGATATAAATATTTTATTAGCAGCAGGTTTCAGTAACATGTTTGCAATAATTTTAAGCCCTTGGGTTGCATCACAGGTTAATTTGCGTGGGAAGGTGGCATTTCTTAATA